TAACGGCCCAACCCCAAAACTGATAAAAAGGATAAGGCAAAGAAGAGAACTGGAAGCGTACCCCAATCCTCTATAGTCTATATCAATGGAGGCCACGATCCTCACCATAGCCTCTCCTTCTTCATCGTCTTCCTCCCATCCGCTCTCTCTCAAATCCCATTTCCGAAACCCATTCGCCACCGCCACCCACCCACTCAAACTCGCCCTCCGCCCCTCCACGACCCGAACTCTGACAATCCGCTCAGCCATCAGCAGAACCAGGAAAGAAGAGACCGTCGAAACCGTGAAGCAGCAGCTCCAAGACTGCTACCTCCTGGCCGGAATCAGGTACAAAGGGCTCACAGTAAAGCAGTTCCAGGATCTCCGTACACAGCTCCCGGATACCACCAAGCTTCTCGTCGCGAAGAACACTCTGGTGCTCAAGGCCATCGAAGGGACTCCATGGGAGGCCTTGAAGCCGTGTATGACGGGCATGAATGCCTGGCTCTTCGTTCACAGTGAGGAAATCCCGGCCGCCTTGAAGCCTTACAGAACATTCCAGAAGGAGCAGAAGCTGGAAGGCAACGACTTTGCTGGGGCGGTTTTTGAGGGGAAATTCTACGGCCCGGATGACTTTAAGTCTCTGGAGAATCTGCCTTCCCGGGCCGAGGTTTATGCCAAGCTGTTGGGCTCTTTGAAGGGCCCGGCTTCCGCCGTCGTGGGCACTTTGCAGGCGCCGGCGAGGAACTTGGTAATGGTGTTGCAGGCCTATGTCAAGAAGCTGGAAGAAGAAGGAGGGCAATGAGGGTATGTAATTGTGTATTTTTGTCAATGATTTCAATTCTGGACATGTTATGAGATATGGCATTTTGTATATTTATTCATTTCTTTTACACTCTCAATTTGATCAGTTAACTGCTTAATATCTTCAGCCTTGTTGGTAGCAGTAATTTATAAATTGAGCCTCTATGGTGTTTTGTAGTTGTGTAGCTTTTAGGGTGCAATTGCTATTACTGATTAACAGGAAAGTTAAACTCTTTTTCCAATTCATAATTTGCATTTTGCAGTATGATATTTTGTTTCGTTTTTGGATTCTTGAAGTTTGATTCTCGGGATCTCTTGCATTGCATACACCATGGATAAACCGAGGGTAGGAAACTAGGATGAATGATGATAACTAAATGTATTCACTATTTGGGTTGTGTTTGAATGAAGGAGGAGAGGGCTCTGTTGAATGCATTTATTTTCCAAGCTTATAGAGAGGCTATAAACAATTGAAGCTCCGGCCTTCAAGTGCTTTAGAATAGTTTATGCCTAGTGTTGCAATTGCAGACCATACAGAAAGAAGATGATAGTAATAATGAATGAATTAGTAAACTAATAAACCTGTTTTCCTTTATTTTTCCTCAACATGGGGTTTCTCCCGAGGGTGTAAAACAATCCAACATCCCTGATGGACTTTTCTTTCTTGTCTCGTAATCCATTAAGGTGAATGCCTCTTCAGTGTGATGGTTTGTAAAGGGCGAGTTACTTCCCTTGATAAATGCATTTTGGTTAATGTGGCCTTGTGTTGTGGGCATTCTAAAACAACAAAACCTTTCATGGATATTTGGCAAATGGATTGATGAATCGTTGCCAACATGAGTGCATAAACAAAGCTGTGATTTTTAAATCAAAATCCCAGGTAGCAAGTTCTTGATAGCTACAGTGTTCTACTTTGTGTTTTGGTTTCAATGTAATTTTGTATTCAATGCATCATTTGATGAACCTCATACAGAATTACTTTTGTCACCTTTTCACCATGTCTTGCACTTTGGTAAAAAGCTCGTTTGTGTTCCATGATGCTTTGGTACACATGTTTGTATTAATGATCTGCGAGCAGAGGAAGAAGCATAGCTTTACACAATGGATCAATTAATTGTGTATACCATACTGTTTAGTACTTCAATCTGTGAACACTTTATTCTTCCTTCTTCACTTCCTTGTATTTCCTTTGCTGTTCAAGTTGCAGGTGAGGTGGAGATATGAGCCATATTGGCTATTGGTTACTGACAAATGATAGATAGGTGTATGTGTTTTGACTTTTGAGAGATAAAATGGCATAATCTAATTTGTATAGTTTTCATGACTGTCAAGAATTAAATATGAAAATGTCCTTACTTTAGTGAAGTTGATGCTTACAGGAGGAGGCTTTCTTCCTTCCTTCCCTTTCTTTTGGTAACAGATTTGTCAAAATTGTAATAGCCTAATAGGGTAATAACCAATCCTGATGTACCATGGAAATTGGAAACAAAATTGGAAAATGGAATTTTGATAGTACCATATAGTAAGTTTATGGAATTAATTAATTCGGGTGCTTCAAAATGGAAATTGGAAGCAAAATTGGAAAATGGAATTTTGATAGTACCATATAGTAAGTTTATGGAATTAATTCGGGTGGGTCACATTAACTAAATCTGATAATTAAGGGAATAAAATGATAAATATAATGTGTAGAGATTGAATGAGACAAAGGTCATGTTTGGTAAATGGCTGCTAGCGGATAGTTACTAGTGTATTTACTACATCACACTCTCGTGAAATGGGCAGACGGTTACAACCTCTTTGACCGAATCTCGATCGCTTTTCTCGTGGCTTGTTCTAGGGTGCTTGATGCTGAGTGCTTAGCTCCGCCTTGGACCTTGAGGTCACCAGAGGAGCTGGCCTTGGGCACGAGGTCGTAACCACTGAGGTTGGCCTTGGAGCCAACCTTGGGCCCATTTGTCTGGACCCGCCTTTTTGGATTAGTTTGCTCTGGATCCATCCCCAACATATCCATCATAAGTAATGTATATATTTGTGTTCGTGTGTAGAGATGTCAACAGTACGGGGGCACCCCCCATCCCTGCGGGGGGAATGGAAAAATCTCCCCATCCCTACGGGGATTATCCAAGAACGGGGAATCCCGGACTCTGTTTATAACTTTAAAAAGAAATATTAAAAATTTAAAAATATTTAAATAAATAACTCATATATATTCATCTTCAACTTAAAATACTACAGAGTATTAAATATTTTACAATTAAATATGCATTTCAAAAATATGACATACAATTAAAAGAATACTTCTAAAATTACACACACACATATTCGGGGATGGAGCTGGACGGGAAGAGTTCTCTCTATCCTCGCCTCGTCCCTCCTCGATAGGAAATTATTAATTCTTCGATCCTTAATTTTTGTCCTCATTCTTGTCTCCGGTTTGGTATGAGTACAATTGACATCCTGACTGAGAGAGAAAGTGAAAGAGATAGATGAATGACACAAAATTGGTCTATAATTGACTAATCATCTTATATATGTCAATTTAAATACAATACCAATGGTGTGTTTAAAAAAAAAAAAAAAAAAACAATACCAACCTTTAAAAAAAAAAAAAAAATCTCTACCCAACCAATGTTGTAAAAAAGGTAAATGCCTATCAAGTAGTTGATGGGTGTCTAGGTGACTTAATAAAAAAAATGTTACGGAGTATTTTATTTATTCATTTTGTCTTTATTGACAAGTTAGTTAATAAAATACTAAAACAATAATTAATAATTAATTAAATATTTTAAACTTTTATTTTTGACGAAAAGAAACTTAAAATCAACCCTAGCTCAAAGTCTATAATAATACTAGTGAACTAATAAACCACTAAAGCGAAAAGAAAAGTGAAAAACATTAAGCAATAAGTAAATTGAGACGGATGGCAAGTGACGACTAAATAATGAGCAATAGTGATCTAACATGACTATGATGATTGGTTTTGTCACTTATTTCAATCCTTTGATTGAGTACAATGATGTCTAGGTGAAGAAAGGCAAAGGCCCATTTTGGGGGATGGGTGGTGAGGGTGTCAAGTAAAGGTTTGAGATTTTTTATTGGCGATTTGGTAACTTAGATTTTGATTTGTTATTTTACGATTGATTTTACATTTTTAAGTTTGCCTAATTAATTTTAAAGTTTTTTTTTTTTTTTTGGGTGTTCAAAATCACGTTGTTTTAAGTAAAAATAAAAATAAAAATAAAAATAAAAATCAACTAAATAAGCGACTCAATCGACCAAGCAATTTGATAATTAGTGTCTCCTTTATCTTGGCTTAAGGATCCCTACCTTGATGACCACCAAAGCAGAGTTTTGCAACACTATATCTAATGCATTGGTTATTACTTACTCCGTATTAGTTTGGATGGATTTTTTTTACAACATTTGTAAATCATGTTAAAACTTTGGTTACAATTGTCAAACAATTTAACAATTTTGGCCAATTATCATGTAATGTGATGATATTCTGGTTATCCATTCAAATGGATGGTCAACAGTTCGAATCCTGGTGATGGAAGTTTAGATTCTTTGGGCTGAAAATGTTTGAGAAAGTATAGAACAGATACTATTTGTAAAAAATAACAGGGAGTTTGGTTGGAGGGCGGGAATTATCTGGAAAAGGAATTGTAATTCCATGGGAGTTGAATTACTGGGAATAAAGTGAGAATTTAAATTCCAGTGTTTGGTTGACAGGAATAGAATTACTGGGACAATTCCAATGTTTGGTATACATGGGAATTGAAAGGGAATAAGTAATATAAAGTCAAAAATGTCCATTATTGTTGTTAGACATTAATTTTAGGTTAAAAAAGGAAGGGGTAATTTTGACTCATCACTATCTTTTTTTTCCAGGAATTAAAATACCAGAGGGGCATGAGATTTTAATTTCATGAAAATGGGGGAATTGCAATTCCATGCTCCAACCAAAGTACGGAATTTAGTGGCCTTTGGAATTAGGTGGGAATTAAGTGGAAAGGGAATTTAAAATCTCTCCAACCAAACGCCTGTAATAAGTATTTCAAAAAAAAAAAAATTTGAAATGGAATTACCAAAATAAAGATGTTTGATATTTTAATGTAGGAAGGAATTTTGATACAGAATTTTCTAAAATTAAAAAAATATTTGAGTTTTGTTGGCCTACTTTAATGCATTTACTACGTATCAAGTAAGGTAATAAATCCGATTATCCGAAGAAATAAATTTGCGCTGTTCCTGTTTCTGTCTCTCTTTCTCGGGCCCAAAGCAGCAACGTTTCGCTCGAAGCTAACCTCAGCGGACAAGAAGAAGGAGGAGGAGGAGGAGGAGAAGAGCAACAAAAATGGACGATTACACCAGAGAAATGATGGACCTCAAAACCCTCGTCACTCGAACCCTAGAAAAGAAGGGCGTCCTCGCTAAGATCCGGGTATTTCTCTGTCTACATTTCTCGTGTTGCCAACGTAGGTGCTGTATATTTGAGTTTGCTTAATTATGATGCAAATGTTTGGCGGATCCGATCGGGTCATTTGTGAATTTGTGTTCGTGCTTTTAAATGCGTGTATTACTTTGGAATTTGCCCTGGAGATGTACTGCTAGTTGATTCTTAGGGGGAGAGAGATGAGAGTTTCGATTTTTAATGGAATTAGGGTTCTTTTGTTTTGCCCCATTTTTGTTGTGGAGGGTGGTTGGAGGTTTTAATTTATTTTGCTGGAAGCTGAAACTATGGTGCAATTTGGAGCATAAAAAGCACCCTATTTAGGTTTCTCATGTTGGATACTTTTGAAGTGTCGTTAAGGTTCTTAACATAACATTCTAACCAAATAGATGATGCAGTAGTGTTATGTTATTAATTATGTACGTTTTGATTTTCTTTCACTTAGAATGTGCTAGCTCAATATGACAATAAGCATTCTTAAGGACAAAAATTAGATTTAGAGGGGAACAGTGTTTAGAATAGATGCTAATGAGTGGCATGGTCATTGGAATTTATTGTTACTATGCTGATGTAAAAGTTCTTAGTCCTCTCAGCTAAAATTAATGATCTATTATTCGTTTCTGTATATCTCTGAGTCTGGACTATCTTCCCATCCACGTGGGCTGTGAACCTGGTTCAACAATGATTTTTTATGGGCATCCTTTTCAGGCTGAACTTAGAGCCAGTGTATTTGAGGCGATTGAGGGGGAGGATAGGGTGATTGAAAAGGATGAAGGCTTGCCTCCTGCTCTATTGGGTAGCTGCAATGATCGTGCTAAACAACTCCACCATTCACCTTCAGGTTTACTTAAATTTACAATATTGTATTCATCTTCTCGTGAATTATCTTCATTAGCCGTCATATCTTTTAAAGACAGGAATGGTTAAATACGAACTCTTAACTTGAATTGCTTTGCTAACTTGACCCTATATTTCTGAAAGCTGTCATCAGTTGAACTGGCAGAGTACTATCTTGAAAAATATAGTTCATTGTACTTTTGGTAGCCTATCTTCTCTTGATGATACACAAAACTTAAATTACATTTATGTGGAGATTAGAATGTAGAGACTAGAGAGCGATGAATCTACTCGTCTGATTTCAGAAATTTGATTCTTGCCTTGTGCATATGTTGTATGATCATTTTAGATTTGTGCACTTCTAGTCCCTTTTGCAACAGTTGTCTTCCTGATGAAGTTTGCATAATGAGAATATTTATGTTACTTTCCATTTTAAAATTGGTATTGTGTATTAATTGCAAAATGCGATTTGATAAGGCCAACTGTAGGGTTTTTCATTTGGATTTTAGGTACTTCCTCCACATACTGACCCTATCAGGTTATCACTTTAGGGTAACTGGAAGTTTAATTATGATAGTGCCCTATAGATTTTGGGATTTTAAAGGGTATATATTTTCATGTAATACTTAATGGCCTAATATATCCTTGCACTTGATGGTCTCCCCTCCTAGAATGTCATTAGATGTAAACTCTTATCTACCTTTTCTAGGTGTCCTCAAGTTAGAGAAAAATTCTCTCTATAAAGCAGGGACAAAATTGGTTTTGATGGAGGAATAAGCATTCTTTGATTTTAAAGTTCTCATTTGTACGTAGATGCCATAGTTCTGGGTCTGTCAAGAGAGCTAACGACTGCATTGAATATGACATTTTATGGCACAATAGGTTTTGCCTCTTTATTTATTTATTCATTTATTTTAATAGTTGCTTTTCCCAGCTCTGATGTTCAGATTGAATAGTTGGAAGGAGAAAACAGTGTAACCTGCTTTTGCTAATCACCTTCTCATTCTCTTGCTTATTTTTTCCCATGTAACAAATGCAGGAAGGCTACTAACTGCACTGATATGTGAATATTTGGACTGGGCTCAGCTAAACCATACATCTAAAGTTTATTTGCCAGAGTGCAATTTGGTAATCATGTACTGTTCCCTTCTGGTATTAATTATTTTTTATCAAATTTATCCAGCCACTTTGATCCATTTCTAATATTCTCTTTTATTCTATTTTTTGGTATGCTTCACTGCAGCAAAAGGATTTCTGGAAATCTGAGTTAAAAGAATTTAGTAGCAAGAATGGGTATGATATTAATAGGAATGGTGACAGTGGTCCACTGCTTTTGGACGTCCTTGAAGGATTCTTGAAGTATGAGGTATGAGATAATATCTGCTAAAAGATCATAAATGCTCATTTAGTTCCTTGTTTGCATGTTTTACTTTAGCATTATGCTATGCATATTGCTTGGTTTTAATTTCTTGGCCAAGGATATAATTTCTCTGCATTTGTTGCACTTTTTTAACATAGTTTCAAGTGTTTTCTCTATTTGATTTGTTTTAAGATTAATAAAAAAAAATAGTAGACTATGAAATTAGTTATAGGCTATGATGCACGGAAACTTTGGGAGGGTAGTGTTTCTCCATTTCCAAAACATTTTGTTTTTGAAACTCCCTAAAACTTGTTCAAAAACGTTTCCGTGTCATTTTCTAATTAGCCAAAATTTTTTGGAGAAGTTTCAGGCCATTTCCTAATTAATAAAAAAAAATTCGGAAACACATTTTCGGTTTAGGAAACTCGTTTTGGGTTTTTCTTTGTTAATGCTTTACTTTTTAGTTTTTATCAAATGTAATGAAAAAAAATTATTAAGCCTTGGTGCCCATCCACCGCCCATTGGCCGCCTAGTGCCTTTTACAACCTTGTTTACGATAAGAAAAAAATTTGCAGATATACACTATTTTTTATTTTACACTTTCCCCCTCACGTTTTGTTGCTTACCTTTTTTAAAATGGCTGCTTTCCCGTTTCTTGTTTCTTGTTTTCTGTTTCCGTGCAACATAGGTTATCGGTAGAAGTTGGTACTGAGAATAAAGAAATAGATAAATAAGCATGCTATGGGGTATAGCAATAGGGTGCTTTCAACCATGTTTGATCCGAACTCTAGGACATGTTGTTTGAGAGCTGACTTTCTCGATGGCTCTTACTTTTTGCACTTTTCCGTTTGTGTAGTTATATGCTACAAGGATGTCAGGTGTGCGCCATAATGGCAAATATATTAGAGCTCTAGCTTTCTGTGCTTTGTCTTGAAAATTGAAATATTCCTGTCCATGATACCCTCAGAAGGAAATCTACAAAGTCAACCTCACCGAGTTAAAGTGATAATCTAGAAAATATCTTAGCTCTCGTCAAAAAAAGAAAATATCTTAGCTGTATCTTACAGTTATGTTGCAGTGTCTAGAATTACCGCTGTGGTTGAGTGGATGAGCAGTGTGTGATGCTCCATACGTTTTCTTAATTGGAACTGGATTACACATTGAGCTTCTAATGGTTTTACTGTTGCAGAATTTATCTCAAGCAAGGGGTGGTGGAAGGAGATTAACCACAGCGGATGGTGAATCGTTAGAAGCACGGAACGTTAGGAGGCCTTCATCAGTTGCAGCAGGGGGCCTACCTCCGTTGGGAAGGTTTATTTACAGAATTCTGTTACTTCTCTCTGAATTCCAATTTTGTTTTCAGATGTGTGACTCAGGATTATTTTAAATACTTGCAGGCAAGTTCCTGCCTCTCAAGCATCTGGTATGTAGCATAACTCTTTAATGTTGGTCCGTAGTTCTAGGTTCAGTGATTGTTTTGGCTTATATAATTGAGTTTGTAGATAGAAGAGCAGGATCGTCAATGTCGGGATACAGGAAAGATGAATACAACTGGAGATATGACAGCGATGAGGATGCAGAAGACGTTGTCCGTGCTTCAGCTGCCTTAGAAAACCTTCAACTGGATAGAAAAGCTCGGAACCTTACCACTTCTTGGCGGTTCGTTTCAAACCCTCAGATGGATTCTTTTAAATTACATTCCGCAGAAAATTCACAATAGATCATCCATCATATAGTATCTTGGAGGAAAAAGGATTAGAGAAGTATATCGCCTTCATCCTTTATCACCACATCTGATGCATGCCAATGCCTTAGAAATGTTACAAATTTAAACATGATATACACGCATTTTACTTAGAAAGTATATTGCCTCTATCCTTTTTTTGGTTGACGAGGAAACCCGCAGCCATTACCCGCGAATGTGGGCCAATAGGCCACTCCCATTTGGAGTCGAACTTGTAACCTTGTGGTTACCAAGTCAACAATCTGACCAACTTGGCTGGTGTCCCCCCCCCCCCCCCCCCCCCCCCCCTATTGCCTCTACCCTTTGTCACCACAGTCGATGCATGCTAATGCTTTAGAAACGTTAACATTTAAATATGACATATGTACATTTTACTAAGAGTCTAAGAATGTATTGAACTAGATCTTCCCGTTTAACTCATGGGGCCAAATATGCACATGTTGGGATGCAAATATATCACGGGATGATCTGAAAATCAGCTAGCGTAATCCTAAAAGCCTGTTTATCGTGTCTGATATAACAAAATATGCTGGATTTGGTTGCAGGCATGCGGGGGACTCTGATGCCGATGGCAGGATAGAGTAGATGCAGCTAAAAATCGTCGTATAATTGCTTTGAGCTCATCTTTCATCCATTCCTATATTATGTATGTGCATTCATGTTATGTGTGATTAAAATCTATTATGGCTGGCCTTTCATTTTTTATTTTTCCTTTTTTCATTTTTTTTTTTTTTTTTTTTCTGTATGGACTTTTTCTTCCCAAGTATTACTACTTGTTGAGTTACATCATTTCCCTCAGCTTCTATTGCTTCCCTATGATTGTGTATGAAATGTGCTTGCTCTATTGTTGCTGCTGCCATGTCAACCAAAAGGCATTACAATAGTAGGGATTTTTTAATGTCGAGTGAGTAGAACATGACTCTCGTACCTTAGGGTGTGTTTAGAAACTTGGACAATGACTTTTGAAAAATGTTTTTCGAAAAATAAGTCATTTTTCAGAAAATATTTTTCTTTCCCGTGTTTGGTTTCATTTCAGATTTTTGGTTCTCGACAGAAACCAATGAAAAAGATGGAGAACAGAAAAAAAGTTGCTTTGAACTTTCTGAAAAATGACTTTCTCAAAAAAGGGGAAGTCATTTTTTGAAAAAATAAGCTTGTTTTCACTTTGATCGGAAATCAATTTTCATTGATCATTATTTCCCCATTTGCAAAACACTAGAAACTTGGAAAATGAATTTCAGAAACCATTTTCCGTGTTTTTAAACATAGTCTTAAATGTTTAATGTCATTCGTTAAACAAATGGTGATTTTGTTCTATTTATTGTACACATATTGTAGTCTCTAGTATATAAATTATTACCGTATCCACTTTTACCCGTTTAATTATAAAGTAGATGTTTTAACCCACTAATAACATATTTTGTTTCTGTTAATGATGTCATTGAATAATTTGAACATTTAAGTGAACAATTGACGTTAACAGAGTAGGTAAGTGGTAGGTTAGAACCATCACTTTCGGGAGGGAAAATGGTCAAATAAGTCTTTCAATTTTTCACAAAAGTGTAATTAGGTTTATGAACTTTTATAAAGTGTAATTAAATTCATTAACATGTTATTTAGATTCAATGAAACCCAATATTTGATTAATGACATGTTATAGCAGGTCACTAGGGCTTTCAAAAATTGGAAAATTGACTGTTATAGGACAAATAGCTTTGGAGTGGACCAAAATATGACGTTTTGAATTCGTGGACAGGAATGAGAAAATCGAGTTTGGAAAATGCGATTTTACTTTTTCACGGTCCAACAGACACACAAGTGGAACTTGCGTATCTCGAGATACGCAAGTCCCACTTACGTATCATTTTTTATTTATTTATTTTTTAAATTTGGTCTCCGGCGGCTTCTCCGACGAAGGAGAAGGCAACCAAACTGGTAGCCTTCTCCCTCGCTTGAGAAGCCAGCAACCAGTTTGGTCGCCTTCTCCTTCGTTGAAGAAGTCAGCAACCAGTTTGGTCGCCAGTTTGGTCGCCGGAGACTAAATTAAAAAAAAAAAAATGATACGCAAGTCCCACTTGCGTGTTTGTTTGACCATGAAAAAGCAAAATCGCATTTTCCAAATTCGGTTTTTCCATTCTTGTCTACGAATTCAAAACATCATATTTTTGTCCATTCTAAAGCTATTTGTCCTATAACAGTCAATTTCTCTAAAAAATTTCGACAGTATTTCGGCTACTCCGATGACATTCCGATCAACTACAAAAACTAACTCTGACGTAATCAAAGAAGCATCTGTAAGAATTCATAGTGGTCGTCGTCTCAAGAGAAGGCAACCACCTGGGTCGCCTTCTCCGTTGAGAAGGTGACTAGTAGCCTTCTCTGCGAGACGGCGACCCACTAGTCACCTTCTCTCACAGAGAAGGCGGCCACCTGGGTAACCTTCTCTGCAAGACGATGACCCGCTAGTGGTCGCCTTCTCCGATGAGAAGGCGACCTAGTAGTCACGATCTCACAGAGAAGGCGACTGCTAGGGTCGCTTGGAGAAGGCGGCTAACAGAGGGTCGCCTAGAGAAGCAATCACTCGCCTTCTCCAGGCTACCACTGTGGTCGCCTTCTCCACGGAGAAGGCAACCATTTGGTTACCTTTCTCTATCGGAGATGGTAACCTTGTGGTCGTTCAAAGAACCGCTGATCGTTAATTTTTTAAAAAAGTTTAATGGCAACGATCAACCATAATCACGGTGGTCACCAGTAGCTAGGGGTGGTCAATGTTGGTCAATAACTGCTTGTATATTTTAACCTATTGGTTACAGGTAAATTAGATCTATTTGATCAATTTTAATAAGTTGAAGTATATAATTGCATTTTTTAAAAGTTCATGGAACTAATTGCACTTTTGTGTAAAGGTGAAGGGATTATTTGATCATTTTCTCTTAAAAACATAAAGCGGATAAGATAATACCAGTAATTCATAGGCAGAATCTATAATAAAGATACTCTCGCTATTCCATTTTACTTGTCCTATTTACTATGCATTGATTGATTAAATTAATTTTTTGTTATTTGTTTATTTTCTTTAGTATTTTCACTTATTTTTAAATTTAAATTTCTGTGTTTAATAGTATTTTTAGTGTAATTTTTAAATATATAAATTTTGTAAATTAATACTAAACTTAATATTATGAAAAAATTGAATTAAAAATAACGTTATTCGAGTCTCGTTAACAAATATAACAGAGAAAGTATAATTAATGGACTAAATCTTCTATTTTTCCTTAACAGATAGTATATTGGACAGATAGGACAAATTATACCATGGACCAGGGTGACATGGTCTACTTTACATTGTGAACCTTGGTAAAAAAATAATCTTAATATTCTATATCTGTAGTTGACACATTATGTATATGCAGTTAACCGTTTTTGTACATATAAACAAATTGAAGACACATAACGTGATAACTACAGACACATAAACTGTTAATTGCATGTACATAACATGTTAACTGGCGACGCATAATATTTTAGCCAACATTTTATGTGTCTAGAATTAACATATCATGTGTCTGCAGTTAACAATATAAAAAGTATTAACTGCATATACGAAATGTGTTAATTAGAGACACATGATTTTTAAAGAGTAAATACCCAAAATAGTCCCTCGACTATAGCTAAATTCACAAATTGGTCATCGACTATTGATTTCAACTAATTAAGTCCTTAACTTTTCAATTTTGACCCAATTAAGTCCTCCGTCTATTTGACCGTTATCTATGAGGATATTTATGTAATTGCAATGTTCCTTCTCCCTTTTTAGCAGCATGGTCGTGTCTTTTAGCTCTAGCAACGCCTGCTATTCTCTGGGCACGCCTTCCAACGTGCTTCCGACAAAGAACGAGAACGGCGTTGGAAAAAGGTTCCGCTGCAGATCTTGCGCCTCCTTTTTCGGCTTGCTGTTAAGCCTGTTGGATAATTGGATCACATCTTTCATATACGTTTCGACTTCGGGGGCGAGCGATTAGAGATCCTCCTCCCCGTCACGTGGTCGGTCCTCCAGCCACGTGACCTCCGCCACCAAGTACCGCTCTTGGCCTTTGCAGATTAGGAAGAAGCGGTCGTCGACGAAGCGCTCGTGCTTCACCACTTCCCCGACGCAGCCCACCTTGGCGGTAAATTCATGGGAGAAATTTGAGAAGAAGGGATTCGAGAATTAGAAACTCGAATCAAGAAAAAAGAAAGAATTTGCAAAGGGATTGGAATTTAGAAGCAGCATTTTGGTGGAGTGTGGTACGGATGTTTACACGTGGACATGTGTTTATAAGTGTTTCTGTAATCTATACCATGGAGCTTTGCAATTACATAAATATCCTCAGAAATAACGGCCAACAAACGGTCAAATAGATGGGGGACTTAATTGGGTCAGAATAGTAAATGACTTAATTGGTTGAAATCAATAGTCAAGGACCAATTTGTAAATTTAGGTATAATCGAGAGACCATTTTGAGTATTTACTTATTTTTAAATGAGGATTTACAATGCAATATGAATCATATTGCGGATAGTATAATGATTGAACGGAGAGAAATACTGTATAGGTAAACCGGAACCTAAATTGGTAGAATTTGAGTCTGTTTCCAGTTGGTTTAGGTGAAAATGTGGTGGGCAGAATATCGCGCCAGCTTGTTTCTCTTCCGTTCTCCTTCATCCCACGTGCTTCTTCACAACCATTCTTCTTTCTGCTGAAGTCCCTCTCCCCGTCCCCGTCCCTGTCCCTGTCCCGCTTCAATTCACTTCTCTTGTCTCCAACCTCGTCATTTTTCTCGCCCCAAAGTTTCAAATTTTGACCTTTTTTGATCCCTTGTTAATCCATGGCGGTTTTGCGCTGCGCAGCGACGAGATGCAGGTGGCGGATCGTCAATTCCGTGCGGGGATTTTGTCTAAACCCCTCTTCTTCTGAGGCCGATTTGAAATTGTCAACGGTTGTCCGCCCCGACCAGCCGCCCAAGGGTAGAAATGTCCAGTGGGTGTTTCTGGGTTGCCCCGGCGTCGGCAAGGGCACCTATGCCGCTCGCCTCTCTAGTCTTCTCGGCGTCCCCCATATCGCCACCGGTGATCTCGTCCGTCACGAGCTCTCCGCCCGTGGCCCTCTCTCCTCTCAGGTCAACCCCTTCATTTTTCGCTAATTTTGTTTCTGTTCTTCTGTGTATGTGTATGTATTGTGTGCATATATATTGGAACTAAACTATGCATGAACGCCATCCTAAAACATGCGGAGAAGCTTATATATATACACGCATGATCAAATGAGAACATGGTTCTTTTCTGTAAAAATTGGGGACTAATCTCAGCCATCCATCAGGTTTTAGAAAAAAAATAAGGTTCAATTTGTTATTTTATAATTATTGCAAACTTATAAAGTTTGCTGGGGAGGTGTTCTCACCTGAACCCTCCCCTATTGGGAAATTTTCAAGTGAGAACATGTTTTGATGGATAGATCAACTGTTGAGGGTTGAGAGTTGCTGTGATCAGTTTCACTTTTTACATGAGGGTTGCTATATATATATATATATATATATATATATATATATATATATATATGAATGTCGGAAGTTCCATGATGCCCCATTTTAGTTTGTTGAAAGTGAAAGTTGCCCTGTGTTTACATTCAAAACAAGCATTTTCTTAATAATTTGAAGTTAAGAAGCAATCATCTTCATGCACCATGGTATACAAAGCACAGTATTTTAATCCAAATTTAGGGTTCTAACTAGGAAGTAGTGTATGATGTTTAGGAGATTTTGAGCATCAAGTAT